CCATCTCTTCTTCCCATGCTAATCATCTTATCAATTTTTTCTACACCAATGGTTAAAGAAACAATCATTTCCTTTGAATTTTTAAGTTCAAGTTCAAGGGCTTTGTTGTCATAACTTAGAGATGCAATTAATTGTTTTCTGACCAGTCAACTTTTTCTGCAAAAAACATCAATTTTTTGTTCATACCTACACTTACCTTTTCGGAATCTGCGTCAGGGGATTGAAACTCGTTTGCGATCCTGCAAATTTTCAAATTTAGTACCTCAATGGATTTGATGAGCTCTTCATTTTGTTTGCTGAGTTTCTTAGAAGCAGCCAACAAATCATCATATTTTTTATTTATGATAAACTCAATATTCATATCTTCAAAATCATCATCCTTCTCTGTTAGTTCATCAAATCTTACTGTCGTGATAAGTGCAATGGCATTATCATCAATTTCGGAGTCAGAATCGCTGTCACTCCATGTAGTATTCAGTGCCTTATTCGCTCCATCCTTTTGTTTCTTTACGGTGTTGGTGCATCACATTCGAAGCATTAGACATTTTCTTTTCGGTTCTTTCATTCATTTGACCTGTGAGATTTTGACAAGACCCGCTCCGAATTCCTCGGAATCCGTGATGAACCCTGTGATTATTCCGACATCCACCGGATGTCGGGCCCACTTCTCAAAAAACAAAGGAATAGAGGGTAATTTCGGTAGAGTCTCCCCTGAAAAATGGACTTTTCCTAAAAATTTCAACCTGTCAAAACACAATAACAAACCCAACCAGCAACATGCACAAAACAAAAGCACACAGTTTATAGAATAGGCCTCCAACCTTACATCCAACCCTAACATGGGTGATAACAGAGCAATTCTAAAGAAATTTAGTTTACAACTGAAAACAAAGTTCAACTGAAATAAAGACAAATAAAGATTGCCCTACAGAAGTTTAGGGCTCGGAAATTCAAGTCTCGGCTCGGCCACTCGGCTTAGATCAAGCTACTGCTTGGGGGGAACAAAACAGAAAATTGTTAGTGGACAAAAACAAAGTTTTATCATAATTGAAAACAACATACAAACCCCACAATTTGGAAAGCAATGTTAAAAGCATGCAATTGAAACCATTCATACGTAATCAATATTAAACTGAAGTGCTCTCACTCTCCCTATATAATATAGTACTATCCAAGCTCAAATCTTTTGACTCTAACCAAAACCCTTTCCGAAATATAGGTTTACAAAACGTAGTATGTAAGGAAAGCTTTTAAAGTAGTTAAGCATATATACATATATATAGTTATATACATATAGACCACAAAAACTTTCATGATTATATAGATATACGCCCCAAAATTCATAAATATACGTATAATAATTATATACGACAACCTCACACCATCACGAGTACCGGGGGAAAACAATCCAACACGGGGATTGTTTGACTAGCCCGCAGGGTTTCAACTTTCTACCCTGCGTCTAGGGATGAGCTGTCCAACCTGGGGACTACCACTCTACAGCACACACGCCGAAAAATCCAACGCCACGTGTGGCCCAACCAAACCAAACTATGTCCTACGAGCGCAGATTGCTTTATCACACGCTGGAAAATCCAACACCACGTACGATAAAGTACTAACATAACCAAGTGAGCCCACACGTCGGAAAGTCCAATGCCACATGTGGGTAAAGTAACCAGGGGAGGGTACTTAGCATGGTGCAAATACAAAACTCACATAACAATCAACAAAGTACCCACTCTCATAAACCACTTGCCCAGTTATTTAATCATAATGTAAATAACAACTTCTCAAAGCATATAAACCATATCCAAAATAATCATAAACGTTAAATATCAAAATGACCGCTAATTCCATAATTAAAACAATATATCAACTCCATAATCAAAATAATCCAATCTAGATGCATGGTAATCTAATCTTTGAAAATAATGCTTATTTAAAACCAACTCCTAGCTTTCCTGGGACTCAACTCTGTGTACAATGAACGGGGAGTTTCTAAGGTCCAACCACGTGTTTCAAAAGGTAGAACAACCTCAGAAGACTCACGGTCAACCGAGTAGTCAAACTTCCCAAACTTGGTCAATCGGGCCCGCGGGGCCCATGACCTCCGATTTCCAATCCGAAAGTTCCTATGGGCTCAACCAAGTCTACAAAACACGTTCTGCAAGTTTGGTCTCGATCAAGCGGTTGGATCAATCTCGTTCGCACGATCGGACGGTCACTATTTTACATAATCTTTGAATCATTGATTCGTAGTATCCGAGACTCTGATTTTCAATCCGTGAGTTCCTACATGATCCTAGAGGTACAGAGAACAACATACTTGAAAATGGAGTCGATCCAACGGTCCGAACATATCGAACCTGGATATCGCCCAGTATGCGTAAATCCGTTCAACCGTCAAATGATAACCAAATTCGAATCCGAGCATACCGTTGTGCTCGGGATGACATGGGGAACATTTTAGAACAAAATGGGCCACCACACCATGACCCACGCTCTAGCAGTGCGTGGGTGTCTTGAGAAAATTCCAGCGACCGAAAAATTCTCAAACACCCGACAATACTTATACTTACGTGATCGAGGCAACGAGGGGAGCAAATTTTGGTCTTGGGCCCACCCCCAATTTGGTCGGGAAATGGCCGAAAAACGCATTCAAAAATTGAAAAAAACTTAGGTTCTAGATTGAGCTTCAAAACTTCAAAATCGATCCTAACCAACCGAACCATCATCTAGATCACGTTGAGTAGGTGGAGAAGCATAACTAGATCGACAAAAATGGTGGCCGGAATCGTCGGAAATGATGACGAAATTTTCAAAGAAAACCGGAGCTTTCTCGAGCTCTCGTCGGCGCCGGAGCGGCTGGGGTCGTTGGAGAAGGGGAGGAAAGGAGAGAGGGGGCTGGGCCGGTTCAAATGGAGGCGGTATCGTGGCTAGAGGTGGTCAGAGGAGGAAGTTCTCACCGGTCAAAGGTGCTGGCGCTGTTTCGTTGCGATGGAGGAGAGAGAATTGAGGGAGGAGGAGAGAGAAAGTCGCGTGGGGGAGAGAGAGAATAGGCCTAGTTTTTAAAAATCTGACTTTGAAATATTTACAATTGTTCCACTACACTTCCGTTGACTGTAACTTCTAACTCCGATTTGGGCCCACTACATGTCTACGAACTCGTATTGATGAGCTGTACACAACGGTGCCATTCAAATCCCAAAAATCCTTACGGATCGAAAAGTGACTAATGTGATCTTATTCCAAGTTCAAAATTGTAATTTCACAATTAAATAAATTAAATAAACGGTTAAAATTGGGTCGGGGTGTCACAGATTTAGACACACCATGAATATGGTCGACAAACTTATTTTTTGAATTTACACCTGAATTATTCTTTGAATCTCAATTCCTTGAGTCTTGATTCTTGAGAAAGTTCATGAACCGTTTTGTGAGAAGCGTCAATTCCTCATCATTGCAATTGTGGGAGCAAATAGTTCGGCTTCCAATCACGAGATGCCACATGGACAAGAAGAACATCTCCTAGGTCAAATAATTAAACCCATTTATTTGGCAATTAATTGATACTAAAAATAGGAATATTATCTTTATTTAAAAAGATAATATCACCAATTAAGATATTATCCTAATTTGGAGATATCATCATCAAATTAGGAGATTTGATTTCAATCAAATCCACAATGGACTCAATCTCTACAAATTAGGGAAAGAATAAACTCTTATTAGGAGTTTATTCTTTGCAAAACCCTAGCACACAAGGAGCCTATAAATACACGACTACACCAAACATTCAAGGTACTTCTAAAACCCTAGAAAAATACCTGGAGCTCCACTCTCTCTCCCTCCTAGCCAACGGCATAACGTTTGCCACTGACCTCATCGCTCTCCTCTCTCCATATTTTCATACACGTATAAGTGCCACCACATACGGCTCCAGCCACTCAGTTCTCACCCTAGAGAAATCTCTGTACCCTTTTTTTATCTATTGTTTCACCTAGATTCAATCGAACTAACTTAGGCATCGGAGGCCCTTAGCCAACACCCCTAGAGTGTGGTCTATTTACTCAGGTCTCTTTTACAGAAACCGAGGAAGAGAGAGAAGGAAGATCAAAGGTTGAAGAATCCACAAGAGAATATACTCCCATGAGAATATTTGCACAAACAACAATCCTCATTTGAATGCCCGTTATCTTCTTCATTCACAACTTTGAAAGCAACACTTTTGCTCTTTTTAGGAGCTAGATGTTTCATCTCATAAGTTTGTAGGGACCTTATGAGTTCCTGAACTTTGAAGGTGTTCAAGTCACGAATCTCTTCAATGGTCGTGATCTTTGATTGAAACCAATGAGGCAAGGATTTTAAAATCTTTTTCACGACCCTATGTTCTGGAATTTTTTCACCTAAGCTTGAACATGCATTCACAGTGACACAAAGTTTAGCATAAAATTCAGAAAAAGTTTCATTCTCATCCATCATAAGTGTCTCAAACTAATAGGTGTGCATTTGGAGCTTGACGCACTTTACCGTATCTGTTCCTTCATGAGTTACCTGCAAAATGTCCCAAGCTTCCTTTGAAGTATCACAACCAGATATATATTCAAATTGATCAGAAGAGACAGCAGTAAATAAAGCATTTAACCCCTTTTGGTTAATAGTACTGTGTGTGACTTTTGCAGTGGTCCATTCTCCTCTACTTTGGAGGACTGTGCTTTCTTCATCTACTTTTCCAATTTTCTTTGTATGTTCAAAAAATCCATGAACCACTGTATGCCATACACGTTCATCTAGAGACCAAAGGAATGCCTTCATTTTAGCCTTCCAAGCACCATAGTTGTTGTCATCGAAATATGGTAGATGTACAACTGAGCCAGCGACACAATCCATCAATAAGTAAAAATAAACTTCGATAGAAGGATTGATGTGGCTTATCAATACTGAAATGTGCATAGCAAAAAATAAAGGAACACATAAAGAATTATTTTACGTGGTAAAACCCTACCTCTGGGAAAATCCACGGAACTCCTCAGTCCAAAACAAATCTACTATAGAATGATGATTACAAGAAGTACTCACACAATTATCCTAGACACATTCAAGATAATGTTTACCGGCTTCTTCGTAACTCAACTTCTGTCATAGGATGATCTTTTGGCAGTCCTTATGTTGAACGCAATACTGGTCTTGATTGCTTCAAGCTTGCCAGAGTTCTTCCAACTCTCCTTATGTTGAATTTGATACTGGTCTCGATCAATTCAAGCTCACTGGAGCAAAACCATCACCACGGTCTTGGTGCCCTCAACCGTATGAGTCACCAAACTCTGCAAATGAATGCAGTATGAATGAAAAAAGTGTTTGATAAAACACCATAAGCGACCCTTGTGAAAAGCTCATCAACCAAACTTGAAAACGTCTGGTTATATTGAACAATTTCAGAGGCATTTCCTCCGCTGCATGCACAAAGCCCTAGTTCATGATTTTCCTAGGAGAAAATATTATGGTCTGAATATCTTACCATACAATTCTCATTCCACACCAGAGCTTGCCTGTGGCTGCTGCATGTTTGGTTGAGAAACTGGGTTGATGAGGCAACACAATTTTGGCACACATTTTGTGCGACGTGCCCTCGACAGAGGTAGAGAGCGTAGATTGTTGGAGCGCCTAGAAAATTTGTGGCATTGTAGAAGGCGCGGTCAGCAGCCTCGAAAGAGAGATTCAAGAGAAGAAGATTAAAGTTGGCTTGAAACACCATGTTGTTTTGTGTTTCATTTCCAAAACAGTAGTGGTCCACGTAGCCGGTGGGCGTGCCAAGAGATTCTGGGCTGGTCTGGATAATTAGTAAAATGGTTTTAGAGTGGGTAAGTTGTGGCTCCATATGTGACCTCAATTGAAGCATTCACATACGAATTGCAAACATTCAACTTTTCTATGAATATTTCAACAAAATAAACATTAAATTTAATACATTTCAACAAATTAAAACCTTTATTCAGTTGGGTTGTTTTTTTTTTTTTTTTAATGTTGTTATTTGAATACAATAGTAGGTATAATTGAGAGATCAATGTTAGCTACAAGCCTGCAATCCATTGGCAAATCGGAATACATTCTAGGTCAACAACTTGGTGTATAGAGAATTTCAACATGTCAAACTTAATATTTAAAGTGTTCATTAGTTTTTTAAACACTTTTAAAATGTACACAAGTGATAAAATAATAATGTTGGCTTTTGAGCTTAATCACAAGCTAAGTAGGCTATTTATGATACAATAATACTTCAATCATACCGTCTATCAACATAAGAGAAAATTTATGTATATGCATATTATATGTAACCCCTGTAATATATCGCTTGTAGCCTAGTTTGTTAAGGGTATTTATTCATGCATCCAAGGTCCTAAATTCGATTCCCCCTCCGATGTCCTTTCATATACTATAGGGACAGATGAGCTTGTCACATTAAACTAGTACCCACTGGTGAAAATGTAATTGCTATATTTAGTAGAAAATAGCATATAAATATTGATTTAGAGTAGACTAACACTTGCTCTTCAACTAAAAAGTTTATTAATAGTTTCAGGTTCTTTAATTATATATAATATTTGTATTTAAGAAATCTAAATTTGTGTTAAATATTTACATGAGTTTGCATACTAACCATTGAGGTCCTTCAAGCCATACAACTTCATCACAAATGGATTAAGAAATTGAGCAATTGCTTTTGTTTTAAAAGTTGAAAAATAAAAGCAAGCGAAATACGACTCAAGTGGCCAACAACAGCTACCCCAGCACCTAAGGTCTAGTGTTTGTATCCCCTTTCTAAACATTTTCGTCAAAAAAAAGAAGGTAATTTACTAAATTGGACTAATAAAATGTGTCTTTTTTGGAAAAGAAATAGGAAGCTGTTGGGTAGCTCTTAGAAAGTAAACTTTCAAATAACGTATAGAACGTATTAACCATTTCTTAAATGGGAGATTCTCCAATAAGTATTTAAGTTAAGAATTGGTTACATATCTAATCTCAGCCGTTGGATTGCTTTCATTAGATGTGTTGGTAGATTTAATATGCAACATACATGCAATCCAACGGTGGAGATTATAAATATGTAACCAATCCTTAACATAAAATACTAATCGGAGAATCTCTCCATGTCTAATACAAACTTATGAAGATATTTGTTAACACAACCTTTTGTGAATTCACACACGCAGATAATAAATATAATGCTTATTTTTTTTCCTCAGTCAATCTTCTCAATTACTTGTGAAGAGGGTCGTGATGTAAGACATTAATGTGTATGTATATATATTATATGTATTGATGTTGGCATTCATTTGAAGTAATATATGTCAGCTTGGATAAGATCACTAGTATTCCAGCTCACACATATGTTGTCTGCCCTATCTACTAGTCATCAATGGACCACAAAAGAAAAGAGCTAAAAATCTTATTCCCACAAATTTGGGATATGTAAACTGGGTTTCGTGGAAATTGCCCACCAGCTGTTTGAAATTAAGCTTCACTGGAACTTGGTAAATTTAGGTAATTATCAAGAAGTTTATTTCCCTTTATCAAATCAATTAGTCGCTTTTACTTTTTGGAGTCTGCTTAACCGTTAATGCTAGGCTTTGTAACAAAGAATATTATATTAGCACAAATTCTAGTATAAAACTGCAGGGATTGAATTCAATGGACTTACTTGGATGCAGTGCAGCAGCTAGCCAAGTCACTTGGATATGCAGCCAATGTCTTGCTGCAATACAATTTCAGAGTGACAAGTTAGACTATTGCAATGAAGTGAAAAACAATCCATATTGATGGCTGAGAGTTCTGTTAACTTTCTTCTGGAGAAGCTTGCAACCCTATTCGAAAAGGATGTGCACTTGTTTGGAGGAGTTCGAGAAGAAGCTGTGTATCTGAGAGGAGAATTGGAAAGGATGAAGGCCTTCCTAAGGATCGCGGACGCACTGCAGGAAAGTGATGAGGAACTGAAAGTCTGGGTGAAGCAACTAAGAGATATTTCTCATGAAACTGAAGACATTCTAGATGAATACACTCTTCTCCAGGGCCATGATCATGATCACGATCACGGTCGAGGAATATTTGGCTCTCTATGCAGGTTGGGTTGCTGTATTAAGAATGCCAAAGCTTGTTACCGTATTGGTTCCAAGTTGCAAGCCATCAACTCAAGAATCAAAGAGATTTGTGAGGTTCACAAGAGACTTCGTCACAAATTCAGAAAGGCTGAACAAGGTCCTGGATCCGACGACAGTGCAGGAAATACATGGCAAGACTGTCGAGGAGATGCCCTTCTTTTAGATAAATCTGATCTTGTTGGCCTTGATGAGCCTAAAAATCAGCTGGTGGGGTGGCTATTTAATGGCAGTTCTGGCCGCGAAGTAGTTTCGTTGGCTGGAATGGGAGGAATGGGGAAGACCACCTTGGCCAAGCAAGTCTATGATGACCCAGAAGTGAAGAAGCATTTTGAAGTCCGTGCATGGATCACTGTTAATCGGTCCTTCAAATTTGGCGACCTACTCAAAGACATGGTTCAACAACTCTTTAAAGCAATCAGAAGACGAATTCCACAAATCGTGGCAAACATGAATAACTATCAGCTGAAGACAACAATAAAGGAATTGCTGGAAAACCGGAGGTACCTGGTTGTTCTGGATGATGTATGGCATCTATATGAATGGGATGCTATAAAATATGCACTGCCTAGCAATGGTTGTGGCAGCCGAATTATGCTCACTACAAGAAATGCAGATGTAGCCTCCACCACGGGTGTACTGTCTGAAGGTAAGGCCTATAACTTAAAGCCCTTACCTCCTCCCGAGTCTTGGGATCTTTTTTGCAGAAAGGCATTTCAGTGGAACAAATGCCCTCCTCATTTGGAGGAAATTTGTAAGTACATCTTAAGAAAATGTGAGGGACTTCCCCTTGCAATTGTTGCAATCAGTGGTGTGTTGGCAACAAAAGATACACGTAGAATTGATGAGTGGGATATGGTTCGCCGCAGCCTTGGGGCTGAAATTGAGGGAAATGACAAGCTCAAGGATTTGAAAAAGGTTCTTTCACTCAGCTTTAATGATTTGCCATACTACCTCAAATCCTGCTTCTTGTACCTGAGCATCTTTCCTGAGGATCATCTGATTGAACGAATGAGACTAATCCGGTTATGGGTAGCAGAGGGATTCATCGAAGCAAAGGAGGGAAAAACACTGGAAGAAGTAGCAGATGACTATCTCCATGAACTCTTGAATAGAAGCCTAATGCAAGTGGCTACTACTACACCTGATGGAAGGGTCAAAACATGTCGGATCCATGACCTTTTGCGTGAGATCATCATCTCCAAGTCAAGAGATCAGAATTTCACCACAATTGTGAAAGAACAAAGCTTGCAATGGTTTGAAAGAGCTAGACGCCTATCAATACATAGCACGCTACAAATTGGTCAGCCTAACAGGTCAGTTTCCCAGTTGCGTTCCCTGTTTATGTTTGGTGCCTCTGAAAAGCCATCCATCTCTAAATTATTCCCAAGCGGTCTTAGGCTGCTAAATGTGTTAGACTTGCAAAACTCAACTTTGGAAAAATTTCCAGTTGAAGTTGTGGACTTGTATTATTTGAAATACCTGAGCTTGAGGGAAACAAAGGTAAAAACTGTTCCCAGATCTATTGGGAGGCTTCAGAATCTAGAAACTCTAGATCTTAAGCATTCCAATGTCAACCAACTTCCGGTTGAGATCCTGAAGCTCCAGCGTTTACGCCATCTTCTGGTATATCAACATGAATTTGTATCTTATGAACATTTTCATTCAAAAAAGGGTTTTAAAGTCATGCCAAACATAGGAGTTTTGCAAGCATTACAGAAGCTTTGTTTCATAGAAGTAAACCAAGATGGGGGCACCATAATAAGAGAGCTTGGGAAGCTAAATCAACTGAGGAGGTTAGGCCTCTTAAAATTGAGAAAAGAAGATGGGAAGGCTCTATGTTCATCAATTGAAAAGCTGACGAATCTTCGCGCCCTGTCTATAGCTTCAGTCGAAGAAGACGAGATCATTGATCTTCAACATCTACCTTCTCCTCCTTTGTTGCTTCAGCGGCTGTATATGAGAGGACGTTTGGATGCATTACCCCATTGGATTCCTTCTCTTCCCAGCCTAGTCAGATTGTCTTTGAAATGGAGTCAGTTGAAGGATGATCCACTCATATATCTGCGATACATTCCAAATCTTGTTCAACTTGAATTATGTCAAGTATTCCTTGGCGACAGATTGTGTTTCAGGGCTGATGGGTTTAGAAAGTTGAAGATTTTAAGCATGGACAAGTTTGATGAACTGAGATGCATAGAAGTGGAGATGGGTGCAATGGCATCTCTTGAGAAGCTAAGCATCCAACGCTGCAAGCTTCTAGAGAATGTGCCATCAGGGATTGAACATTTAACGAAGCTGAAAGTTCTCGAGTTTTCTGATATGCCGGTGGATTTGATGAAGACGATTAGAACAGATGGAAAAGATAACTGGAAAGTCTCCCACATTCCAGAAGTTTATTCAACTTACTGGAGAGAAGGTGGCTGGGAAGTCTACTCCATAGAGAGCATGACGGATGGGGAGTACTGTCCCCTGCCCAGCAATCCCTTTAGCAATGAACTTAAAACTCGTTGGAAGTCCTGGAAATGATACTTGTGCTGCGACTGGGAATTGGAATGGGGTTATACATATCCTTGTAAATACGCCATAAATACGATTATGTATACTTGTATCTGTAAATACTTGTAAATTAATACGTAATGTAGTTGGGTCCAGGATCAGAGAGATTACCTGTGGCTGCTAGCTATAAACTGGTAGGTCTGTATAGCATACGGCCCAACTTGTACAAATTAAGATGGGTGTGAAGCTGCAGTGATCTGTAAATAGTATTAGTATCTGATTGTTTCTCCAATTACATTTCCCATGCAACTTAACAACTCAATCCTGTCAGTATCTCCACAGTAACTAATTCTGTAAATAGTATTAGTATCTGATTGACCCCTAATTCTGTTGTTGCAATTATAGCAATGTTCAGAGGAACTCATCGTTCAGAGGAAGCTCTCAAAAACTATAGCAATGTTCTGCAATAACGGTAGTACAAGTAGAGCTCATTTTAAATAATGCTTTTTTTCTCTTCTTATTTTTCTTCTCTTTTCTATTGCACATGTTCTCTCTTTTGCTGCTTTGGGTGATCTCTCTGGGGGTTGACAATGAGCTTGGAGATTTACTGAGGTGTTGCTTGGCTACTGAGCTTGGAGAATTACTAAGGTGTTGCTTGGCTAGAGGAGACCTAGTCTACACTATCCAAAGCCGGCGGCTGTATGGATTTGACGCCTCAACCTCCTAGCAACAACTTGCCTGCCTGAGCAAGATGACTGCTTATCACTTGAGAATAGTTTCTTTTTCAGTCTTTCAATCGCACCTTTAAATTACAAGCACTGGTCAGTTTTAAGTTTCTACCAGTAATACTTGGATTTGGGACGCTCTTACTAAACATGCCAAAATATACATTACCTACAATACCGTACCAAATCTCTCTCAACTTGAGGTTGAGGCTGTTGTATAGTTCATATCCAATAGTACCAAAATAACCAGTAGAAGCTACATTGCTTTTTCTTTAAGGAGGAATTTGATCATTACAAAGGTAATATGGAATCGTATCTATTATCCACCGATACCTATCAAAATTTTCCAACTGAGTAACCAGTGCCCGTGTATCAAAAAATTTCCAGCTGAGGGGCTAATCGTCAAAAGAATGACCGTACCTAACTCTGCCACCAGACTTTGCACTCTACAGCTGATGACAACTGTTTGCATGTCTACTGTTGATACATACAAATATACAAAAAATTTAACCAAACGGGCACAAGACCTTTTATGATAGGTTATCTCCTAAATATGTGAACACCCTTTTCTTAAACACTCGAGCTAGGTCTACAATTTCAGACTCCCGCATCTGCCTTGCAATGCCATCAAACTTGTCACATATCTGGTCTTTCCTGGACAACCTGTTTGCAACATCGATGGTCAAGCTGGCCATGTCTCTGCTCTTTGTTAATAAACGCAAGACAGTAGCTGAATACGTCGGGTTTGATACCAGCCTGTTAAGTAGTATTAGAGCCTCCCGCATCAGCAAAGTCCTACACAACAATGCCCTCACAATATAAGCAACAATTAAGAGATAGATAGGCCATTTTTGTCATGTAGATATACAGATATTGAACGTACTCCACAGAGACACATGACATGTATTCCTTGCAAGATGCAGAAAGAAGCCCTCATAAATTATGTGGGATAGCCTTTATTCAACTGTTACAATGTACTAGAATGTGGGTACAATTGTTCATATGGTTAGTAAATGGCATTTGAATTTGTACAAGCATTCCGATAAATAATAAAAAGTAGTAACCATTTGCTTTTTGAGTAATGCTATTTGTACACACTAAATTGACCACATTAAGTGGCAGCTTAAGTGTTTATGCCATGTCAACTAAAATGAAAACTGTTTTTTTATTTTTTTATTGTGTTTTATTAGGATTCTAATTAATTCTTTTTTGTTTTTAACCTTCTCCTCTCTTCAAATCTCCCCGACTTTGCCCCTCCCCCTTTCTCCTCCATTCACTGATCCCATCCACGGCTATTGCAAGGACCAATAAAATCAAATTGTTTTCATTGGAGAAAACGATCCAACAGAAGAAAGACAATTAACAAGCATCCTTTCATGCCAACCGAGTAACCTCTTGCCTCTTTGAT